GTACAATGTCCTGCTTGTTTTGTGTTTTTTTTTGTAACAGTTAAACAGTAAAATTTAATTAGATGTCATTACAAAAATACAAAAACTGAAATACTAAGATCAAAAGGTAACACAGTTATTACTATACTAGTATAGAACCAGGCCATCTTCCACATTCGTGCGGTCTTGACCAGGCTCTTTAATGTGGGATGACCAACTTGAAATCTTCATTTTTATATCTCAAAATAATTATTTCAATGGAAGTGTTGGCTGAGAGGTTATATACAGGCTCTCTCCATCAGCAAGGTGTAGTTGTTTTTACATTTACTCTTTAACCTCATCCTGATCAATCAATAACCTCAATGGACCTTTTAAAATAAAGATGAAAATCTGGAGTTGATCTGCCAACTTTACATGCCTGATCATACTGAATGGATGTGCAGGCTAGCGAAGCCTTACACTTGTAGCAAGGGTGGTCACTTTTAGTTCCTGCATGCTAAAGATAGAATTTCCTTTCAGACCAAGAAACAAAAATACTTCTATCAGTGGCCTTTAAAATGAAATAATTTGGTAATTATGGTGGTAAAAAGTAGACATGTTGGGCCTGATCAATCTTGAACTTGTACTTTGTGCAATTAATAAACCATAAATTGAATCAGGAGGCCAATTTAATGCATTTGATAAAGTTTCTACCTTTTATATACCACTGGTTGTGATCTTAAAGATTAATCACTCAAAACTGTTTTCCATTTTAGAAGAGTTTTGTAACTTCAAAGTGAAGAGTTGACTGGTGAGATAATTGAGGGAGATTCATGAGTAAAACTGGGAGTGTGATCTTTTAATATAGCAAACATCAAGGATTGAAAAATGATAAAGAAGAAACCACTAATGACAGCTTAATGAATTTGACTTTGATTTTATAATGTAAACCTATATGTTACTTCGTTCTAGGCCTGTTAAACGCACTATCTTCAAAAATTGATCATTGCTTATTTAGTTTACTAGGTCTCTTTTTAATTTGTTGCATTTTCCTTTTTTTATTTCTTTATGATTGCATGAGACAAGTAACAAAGAGCTTTTACTAGATTATGAATTAAATCAAATTTAGCAAATTAAGTCCCCGTATAGTATGCATATTGTCTTTTTTCTGTCAGAAGCAACAAATAACTTTGTAAGGCATTATTTTAAACTATAACCCACATATGGTCACAAGAGGTGTGTTTGTTTGCTTTTGGCTTTCCGCTGTTGCTTGTGGTATAGTTGGAGATATGTTAAACAAAAACTGTTAACATGTACTTAATTAATTGAGCAGATGTTACTACATAATAATGTTTTCTAGTACATTCATTTTTATGTATAAACAAAACATCATTAAAACTTTCTTTTCAACACTTCTTTTTCATTGTTGTCATTCTAGGTTAAAACTTACCCAGTTTCCGGACAGCCGGAGATTCTGTTCATGATCTTTGTTGCATTCATCGAGTCCTTTGTCCGAATCTCAACTTTTTCATACCCCACCACTTCTTCGAGGAGAATTTTGAGGATATGGTTTGAAATATTATGCGAGGCCCTCTTTGAGGTCTCCAGGACTATTGGTATACTCTTACCATGGTAAAACAAATGCCTCTTGTACTGGACAGCTAAAATATAGAAGTAACAGTTTGGAGGTAATAAAAATAACCATCAATGATCAATAGTAACTGAATTATATACTGTTATCTTAAATTCAATTTAATCCTTCCCATGATGAATTTGTATAATATACTTGTTCTTCTTTAAATTTAGAACTGTCCATTGTGATTTTAACTTTTAAGTTGCTTATTTTGTGTAATAGATTTGCCCATCTTTGAATTTGGTACGTTTAAGGGGTTCTAATATCAAAATAAAGAAAATGAGCTGTAAAATGTCTTATCCCCCAGTCTATTGTAAACCTACCCTGCTCCCTTAACAGTGTGGGGAATAATTGAGAAATGAGCAAAGTTTTTTATTTTCCCCAATGTCCCTAAAAAAAGTCCCTACTGTAGGTGGGGCATTAACAAGGGTTTTTGGTAATCCAAAAGGCGAAGCCCCTGTGCTATTTCCCATGGGGTAGAAGAGGCGGTCAATCTGATTTATTTAAAAGAATTTTACATTGTAGTCCCAAGCCATGATTTTTGGGGAAGAGCATTAAAAAGCCGTTTAAAAATGTTCTTTATACTTATAAAAGAGAAGAGGCAGTATTTTTAAACACACAATGGGACAGACATAAATGTCACATTAAAGGTTTTAATTGTGTTGATGCCCGACTATAAAACAAAAACTCTTTGGACAAAAAAACTGTAAATTTGAGTCATGAACAACCAAGTCTGTTGTCATAGGTCAGTAACATTCAACTATTATAGTAGAAATTCAAGGTTCATTTACAAAGAGCACGTTGAAGTCTAAAATGTGCATTTTTACACAGTTCTTAAGATTTATAACTATTCAAAATATCAGGATACATTATTATTTTTTTTTGCCATGAAAAACTTGTAAAAGAACAAAAGGATCATGCAAATATTAATAGCATGTACTTTTACATCAGACCTATATTTTACTATATAATTAATTGTTGGGGGGATTAAGAATGTCACCTTTGTTAACTTCAGTAGAAGTACACTGAAATTATTTAGGAAATTTATATCCTCCTTTAAAAAACCTATACCCTACATTATATGATAGATGTCTCTCTAAGAATATTGTGATAATGATATAGTAAGTTATTAGTACATGTACTAAAAACTTGTCCAGCTCACCAAGGTTTTAAGTTATATGGTACAAACTAATATGACAAAAACATCAAAATGAAAATGTAAAATCTAGGGAATAATATTTCAAAAAGAATAGCAAAGCTAAAAGTACATAACTTAATGATGTCTTACGTAAGAATGACTCACTGAAGGACAACAACAAGATAATCATACAGCAGCTTGACTGTTCACACAAACACGTAGGCTCAATTTTAGGCATCTTATAGTAATGCTTACCAGTTAGTAAAGTCAAAATGACAGAAAGATACATTATATGCTGCAATTGTGCAAATTTATATGCTGAAATCCTTTCCTATAAAAATTCTGAAAGAAGATAGATTGCTCAATAGACAATTGTCAGAAAACCAGTAGTCAAAATATATTGACGTGGCAAAGCTTGATTCGGAGATATTTTCGTTCTGGGGCAGAATCTTGCTTTAACGACTAGAGGCGAGATATTGCCCAGACACGAAAATAGCACAATATCTCGTCGCGCAGTACAATTAGTTGGACTAAGAAAACCAGTTGTCATTCTCAAGTCTGCCATAAATGATCCAATTCTTAAAACTCAATATGCACAAGAGCATTTGATATCAATAGTTTGGCTGAAACTCTTTCTGATGTAGGAATTGAGCACATGAGGAATTGGTTTTGCCTAGTTGCCCCATTCACCTGCCGATATATGCCAATCTAATTCTTGGAATTTTCTGTTAAAAAAAAAACGACTAAAAAGGAAACAGTAAAAAATACTCACGAGGTTTATTTGTCAAACAGCGGCTCTGTATTTCTTTGACGTGAATCAAGAACAACAACAACAGGAAGCACCATATCCCATAATCTTTTGTTGCCATAGTAATACTAGCAAATCATTTGATTTCCTTTCTGTCATTACACAAATCCTCAGGTTATATCAAAGTACTTTTCAAAAATCATTTTTGTTATCAGGTAGAATTTTTTATCATTTATCCAAAAATAAAAAAAATCTCTAATCAAGTATTAAATAGCTATTGAATAGGTTCCTATGAGGTAAATATGTAAACACAGATATCCTGTCACTTGATAGTAATCCAAAACACACAAAATGTCAGCCAGATCTCTTGGTAAAGTTCTTTGTGTGCCCTGCTTGTAAACAACTGACTGTCACCATTCTGAAAGTGTAAATATGTAATTTAAAAACAAGAGTGGTTTGTAATCCTAGAAAAAAGACAGGTGTTTGGTTTATCATTTGCAACCTTTTTTGCAATAGTGCTGCAATATAAATACCTGAAGCCACCCAATATTTTTCCAATCCTCAACAGTGATTCCTTTAGAACAGCCAGGTTGTGTACATATATTTATATCGTATTCCAAATTCATATCAAGAAGCTGACATCAAAATTTTACACTGTACCTGCTGGAACTGACACTGATATGCCCTTGTCACCAGTATAGAATCAGGCTAGCCTATACAGGCTAATCTATGCAATCTGACCAGGCTCTAAACTTTTGGTTGACAAACTTCGACTTTTTATCTTTATATCTTATAAACTGATAATGAGTCAGTTCCAAAAATGGAAGCTGGCAACAAGTCCATTGAGAAATTCTTCAGGTTAAAGGTCCCATTATTATCATAAACAAATGTTATATACTTATTCAAGCCGTTCTTTTCGTTTGCGTTAATTTTAAATATTCCAGATATAAAAAAACAATGCAAAAAAATGTAGAATTACTTTTTACACTATCCCTACCGGTATATCCCTACATTGTGCTGTGTCCCTGTGACTGCATTGAGTTCATATGGAAACAATTTGATCATCTTACAGAATTGCTTCATTGTACATTATTTGGAAGCACAAAGACTTTTTTCATATTAAAATAATAACTTCTGCTGGATTTACTGTATTTTATTTTTGAGTAACCAGGTCTTTACATCTTACCACCAACAATCTTGTTAGAGTAATAGAGTGGTTTCCAAGTTCTCCAAGCAACATGAGGCATGGTCACACAGAAAGAACCCCGTAGAAATTATGAATGTATTTTAAACTTGTTAAACGGGGATTAGCAACTTAATAGAGCATAATTATGGTAGCCTATATAAATATACATGCTGGGGTCTATACAAACTTGTTCACCATGGATGATATATATGGCACGGAGAAATCGGTGAAATATTTGAATGATTATATCATCAACTTTATAAATATACTTTATGATATACGTTTATTATCATCAACTTTATAAATAAATTTTATGATATACATTTATCGTAATCATTAAAATTATCATCATCATTTTAAGCTCCTTTTTGCAATTTTCAATGCTATTGCTGCCAACATTATAATAAACAGTCATCAATCATTGTTATCATCAATAACAGCAACATAATGATCAACATTATTATTGTCAATCATCATTATCATTGTCATGAAAATTGACATTATCATTATTATCATCAAAAACAACAACATAATCATCATTGTCAATCTACATCATCATAATTATCATCATCATCAACAATAACAACAGTACAATTAAAATCATCATCATCATTTACATAATCATTTAAGAGATGATGATGATGAAAAAAAATAATTAATTTCATAACCAAATGAATTACAACTCTTTAACCTATGTTTATCTAATTTTACAATCTAATATAACTTTAATTATGCAACAAATTAAACTAGGACAAATTTACAAAAGATTTTCAAGTTGAAAAAAAAAAATCAAATTATCAAAATTAAATATTTCATTCCCTAAAAAGATTAAAATAAGTGTATGATCATTTTGTAACATCATTTAATTTAAAAAAAAAAATTAAAATTTCAGAATGTAACATAATGTTTAATCTATATCATTATATAATTATACAGCACAGTACAAAATAAATGTTTTCAAATGCACTTACTTAAACAAATTATATTTCCTCCAGTAACGTCAGAGTCGACCTGTTGAACATATTATCCTAGCCTGACAATTAAGGAATGCTTTTATTTTATTATACCTTAAAAAAGCGTCTTTCTTTAGTTCAAATTGTTTTAAACTCGAGATAATGTCAATAGCAAATCCCTGATCCATAAAAATAGATAGCTGTCAATAACGGTTTTATTGACAAAAACAATTAAATACGTCTCCAATTACAAAACACCCGCATAAAAATACCCTGTTTCGGCTCAATCTGACAACTTCACAAGTAACCGCAAAACTTTGTATTTGCTATACGCTAAAAAGCAAAATAGCTCTGAAACTAAAACCCTGATAAAGCATACATAATCCCTTTAATGTACCTACAGACATGCAACGATAAATAGAAAATCGGAAATAAAACTACAAGCTTTTATATCTGTAAAAATAAATCCCGCCACGATTCAGGTGAATAGCACTTTGAGAGTGGGTAAGTATAATAAATGTATGACCAAGACAGATTCAATTGATCTACACTGTGTAGTACATAGGAGCCTTTGAAAAGAAATTAGAGTGAAAATATTGATTTTTGAAACTTGATTATACTAGTTTTATTTACTTTGACAAGCTATTTACTTATGGTATACTTGTGTTAGAGTAAATAAAACAATTAAAGAGGAAATCGGTAAGGTAGATTCATATCTAAGCTGACAAAAGCTTTTATACCTGTAATAATTTGATTACACTGTATGTACAAAATATTAATATCTGCTATAGCCTTAACAAATTTTTTTTGACAAACGCTTTCAATTTTATAATGATTTATTTCTATCAGAGAAAGTTATTATATAGCTCTTTAAAACACAACAACAAAAAACAACACAACTTTATAACCCAAAGTTTGGAAATTACATACATGTACAATGTAATTATTTTAAGTACATGTTAATTGTTTGGTATTAATTCCAATCTTAAGACATAAAATGTTAATAGGAATATTATTATAATTTTGATATCTGCTCTAATCATATTCATTTCATAATTTATGTCCCTCAGATAAATGAAGTTATTCAAAATCATCTCTCGGATAAAATTAAACGAAGATATTCAAAATCATCCCAGGGATAAAATTTAATGAAGGTATTCAAAATCATAGGTCTGAATATATTGATGTTTATTTTTGAATAGATTTTCAGGAATTATGTCAAAGGTCATCATGTTCAAGGTCATCATGTTCAAGGTCACCAAAGCTAAAAAATAAAACCTCAAGTAAACATGTAAATGTTATCAAGGACAGAAAGCTAATAACCATATAGCATAACACGTCGCTTATTCTAATAACAGGGTCTGACAGAAAATATGACATATAATCATGATCACCCTGCTGTCAAATGTTGCATATAGAAAATCATTTGTACCGACACTTGACTCTATTTGACATTCGTTTAGAAAGTTAATAACCGAGTACGATGCATCTCCGATATCCTATAACACAGAGCTATTGTAAGCACGCAAACTTTGAAACATTAATCTTCAACAGATAAGATGAAATAGAAAAATATTCTTTGACATATTTTAAGATTTTTCATCTGATAGTATAGACTGCTATAACATTAACTTTGCAGTGCAACGAAGTTCAAACAGGATGGGACCATCGCATTGAACTACAGTTTCAAAAAGAATAATTTCAGGTGTTTACTTTAAACCATATTGTTAAAAGTTTTAAACACTTTAAAAATCATATTGTTAAAACTTTAAAACAGTTACTATTTTCAAATATCTTTAAATCTATAGATGTTAATCCATGAAGAAAATAACCTTTAAAGAACAAAAATCACATGAAAGGGTTAAAGGCTTCAGTAGGCACTTTGGTTGAACCATCAACCTTCCGTAAGTGACCTAATAGCTACCTCACATGAATGTTATGAGTATGTATTCTACTGCTGTGAAACTATGTTTTAAAATATAAAACATTTACATTAACTATTATGCATTTTACATCAACAATTTTACATTTACATTACCTATAATGCATTTAATATTAACAATCTCACATTTACATTAACCATTAACAGTTACATTAACTATTATGCATTTTACATCAACAATTTTACATTTACATTACCTATAATGCATTTAATATTAACAATAGCACATTTACATTAACCATTAACAGTTACATTAACTTTTATGCATTTTACATCAACAATTTTACATTTACATTACCTATAATGCATTTAATATTAACAATCTCACATTTACATTAACCATTAACAGTTACATTAACTATTATGCATTTTACATCAACAATTTTACATTTACATTACCTATAATGCATTTAATATTAACAATTTCACATTTACATGACCATAACACAGTTACATTCATTATTATGCATTTTACATCAACAACTTCATATTTACATTACCTATAATGCATTTAATATTAACAAGTTCACATTTACATGAACCATAACATAGTTATATACATTATTATGCATTTTACATCAACAACTTCATATTTACATTACCTATAATGCATTTAATATTAACAATTTCACATTTACATTAACCATTACACAGTTACATTCATTATTATGCATTTTACATATTTTTTTTACATTTACCATTAAGCATTTTACATCAACAATTTTATATTTCCTATTAATATACATTTAATATAACAAATTCACACTTACAATAGCCACTATGCATTTACATTGACCATTTACATTAATAATAATCATGCATTTTATATAACCGATTACTCAATTAGCCAATTTGCATTTACATATACCATATTGCTTTTTTAAATTACCAATTGGCCATTTTGCTTTTACATTAACCATTATGCTTTTTTACAATACAAAATTAGCCATTTTGTATTTACATTAACCATTATGCCTTTTTAAATTACCAATTGGCCATTTTGCATTTACAATAACAATTATGCATTCTACATTAACAATTAGCCATTATACATTAATAATCATTCATTTTACATTTGCAATTTAAAGTTATTTTTATTTTTTACAAGCCATTTTGAATTTAATATTAACCACTATGCATTTACATTAATCATCATGCATTTTGCATTTACAATAATTTTGTTTATGTATTTTATATTTTATGCAGTTACATTAACCATTATGCATTTAAATATTTGTGTGGATTTACAGCAGTGCTCTATAACAAGCACATTCAACAAATTTTCCTTTTCAATATACCTAGTTATCATCTTTAACAACTCAGAATAATGAATAACATTTCTAATTTTCAAATTACCTTTTTTGCCAAAATTGCACATCATGCATAAATAGGAATAATAGAACGTGGACTTGTAAATATCCCACATGGCCATCTTTGTATCAAATATCCGGGAAAAGTAACTTAACACATAGTTTAGTGAATATTTCACAATCAATTAAACAGGTACAAATGAGATTTTTCACAAAAGGCACTTTCAAAAATTGTTCGCATAGTTTACATTGTTAAGACAACTTTCTCTTAAGTATTGATTTACCTTCAAAATGTGTCTTTCAAGCTAATACATAAGGTTAACAAGTAAATAAAGTTGTACGCTGTAACACAGGGCTGGGATTAAAATTTAGCCTTATAGAGGTCTTTTTAACCCTTAACATTCTAATTTCTTAAATAGAATTGTCTATCTTTTCAGTCTGGGCAAAACCATTCATCATTTAGGGAAAATTTAAAAGAACATACTAATTGAAAAGGGACCAATGCTTTGTAAAAAGTGACCAGTGCTTGAAAAAGGGGACCAGGGACTTAAGTGCTTGGTAAAAAGGGACCTGCAGTGTTCAGAGATGACAGACCATAGCAGAGCAACAAAAGACTAATGCTGAGTGAAAAGTATCCAACACTGGGTAATGTCAAATGGGACCAATTTTAACAGTGTTACTAAAGGGCCAATGTTGGGAAATACAGGGGACATTTTGGAATAATAAAGAACCAAATTCTTATGTGTATTAACAGGAGCAAATGATTTACCACACAACTTAAATCTTAATCTCCACGATCATGTTATTTTGATTGAATGAACATCAACCACCTACACATTATATACACAAGAAATCTACATCAGTTTGTTGTTACATTTTGAACAGTACTCCTTTAAATGAATATATAGTCCTGATGTATACCCAAATCACTTTAAATTGCATTTATAACAATAAACATTCCAGAATTTTTTTTTAAAAAAGGGGGAAATGATACATGTTTAATCCCGGACAATAATGTATTTTGATTATTCTTTGATGTAAACAAAGCCTAAAATTTAATACAAATATACATCAAGAATAGAAATAACCAAAAATGACTCACACAGTTTCGTCTGAACTAAAATCCAGTCCTATTAAAACATCTTTCCGTGCAAATTCATTGAACCTATCAGCAAACTCGTATCACCAAACTACTGAAGTGAATTTAAGCGAGCTGAAAAGAGTTCTTTTCAAAACGATTTACACTGTTATTTTCCTTAATCTTCTTTAAACACAAATATTTTAAATTCTTCATTAATCCAGTGTCCACTGTACAATATAAGCTATATCAACATATCAACTTACACTGGCTATTTACCTACTGGTCACTTTGGAATTTATCCACTGCATCTAATGTTGACATTATTCTGGTCATTTCGGCCAATAATAATAACTCTTGTCCGTGTCATGATAGGTTTTATGGCCACTTTTGGACTGGTCAAAAAGCCGTTTATATAGATAAATTTATCGGCTATGTATGTAGAAGTCTTATTTGATTAACGGTTAAACTTTTGACTGCCAAATTTTATTTTGTTACAATGACCAGGTAAAAACAAGTGATGTGAGTCAAAGGGGGTTATTAATAGAGACACTACCATCTTGTTACCAGTATATTAGCTGTAACTAATTTTAGTGGTCCACTGTTTTATTAATACATTAACAGTTATGTACATTGTTAATGTACATAAAAAGAGGTGGAGAGTTGTATCATTTTGTCTCACACAGTTATGATTCAGTTTGATTTGATTTAAAACCATTCTTCTTGAATACTTCATACCAGCAATTTATAGAGATGTCTAAAGTTTTATTGAATCAAGCAGCTTTAATTAGAATTAATTATCTTTATAAAACTGACTGAAATATTTCAATATGACTGAAACACAAAAATTATGAGAGAAATTCTTTATTAAAATATAACTGAAATGATTAAACTATGACTGAAACACTCTTAATTAAACTATGAGAGAAACATTTTTTAAAAGACTGAAATACTAAAATTATGACTGAAACACACAAATATAACTAACATGATTGAAATTCTGAAATTCTTTAACTATGAGAGAAAACATTTGAAATATGACAGATATACCTAAACTATGAAAAAAATGTATAAAAATACAAGCAGACTTCTGAACTACTTAAACTTTGACTGAAATACTAAAACTAAGCCTGAAATACTAAAATTTAGACTAAAATACTAAATATTGAATGAAATACTAAATTTATGACTGAAATACTAAAATTTAGACTGAAATATTAAATATTGAATGAAATACTTAAGTTATGAGTGAAATACTAAAATTTAGACTGAAATACTAAATATTGAATGAAATACTAAAGTTATGACTGAAATACTAAAATTTAGACTGAAATACTAAATATTGA